TCGGAGTTCTTCTTCCTCATATTTTCTAAGTGACATTGGTAGATAAAAGAAAATAATTAATTATCCAGAAAAATGAAAACCACTATAATGGCTCATAACTCTATATAAGCAAAGGAAACCAGGCCAAAGCCAATGGATTTTAAGTGAAAACAAAGCAATACCACAACAAATTATAAAACAGAAACCCCAGTGGATTTTAATTGCCTTTAAAAATTAGACTTTCATTTGGGTTTAAAGTTCTATGTATGTGGCGAGGATCATACTTATATTTGAACAAACTTGCATGTGCTCAAATCATCATAATGTTATTATTACAACCAGAAATTGGAAGTTATACCTTACCTTTTGAAGAATTTATGGATAGGCACAGAAAGATATTTGAATTGTTTTCTAAGGGATGACCAACAAAAGGAAACGTTAAAATGCTTTAGTAAGAATGCAAATCAGATACTTACCACAATGTTCAGATGCGAAAGGTTGTTAAGAAGTTTCACTTCTTCCTCAAGCTCTCTAATGTGAACCTATTAAGCAAATTTAAAGAAATGATTCAGATATATAGGAGTACAAACACAATGCTTCATATATAAATTACCATAAATGTAAATGAAGCAATTAAATTGGAAGTGATTTTCAACTTTGAAACACTCTTACTGCAACTGAAACATTCTTAGATATATACCAAAAAATAACAAAAAATATATAAATATATCCAAAAGAATCACCATAAACAAAATATATCTTTTAGAAATGAAGGAGTATCAAATCCAAAATTAGGAAGAGCACTTCTCAAAATAATAATAATAAAAAGTATAAGAACATTATCTCAAAACAAAACCACTGCTCACGTCTGCTGTGCACCACAATTCATCATCATTCTGCAAATCACCACGAAATAATGTTCTAGATAAAGCTTAAGTAAATACAAGAGTATTCAATAAATATCAAAGATATTTTGTCTAATTAGAAACTATGAGTAAAAAATATGGCCATCTATATTATTTTCAGCTTAATATAGTCAAGTTAACCTTAATGTTCACATTAACCCATTTAATGTTAACAATCCTCAACCTATTTGACTAACATGAAATAAAAATGGGTATTAACATGAAACCAATTTCTTCCTTTAACCCCCATTTGATTTGACAGAGAGTGAGAGCTTTGTTGGTGATGGTGGGGATGATGGGATGACAAAAAACAGAGTATCCAAATTTGTAGGAAAAATATAAGTTTATTACTGATTCTATTCACAGATAAATTCAGCACTGACAATTGGAAAAGAAATTTTAAATCACAATAAGGAAAAGGAAAAGAAATTTGTACAAAAAAATTAATTCGTCCAATAGACTTGTAACATTAAATAATAATTAAATCATACTTGAAAAATTATTGAATATTCTTCGAATGCCATAAAAGTATATACATATGGTACTTCTGATCAATGAGATTACAAAAATAAAAAATGAATGAAAATAAGTTTATCTCTATCAAATTGACCAAAGTAGGTCAGGTCAATTTTGACAATTGCGTTTCTTGTTCAAAAAGCCCAAGTTCAGGTTTGATTTGTTTTTGTATAATTAATTTTTTTAATTCTGACCCATAATTTATTTGTTTAAGGTTTCAATCTTGTTCTTTGAATTTTTTTTTTTAATGCATTCTCTTAGCTAAATATTGATTTCTCATATATTAGGGGAAATTAATAATGTCCACTCTTAAAAGGATGCACATCATATTAATAAAGTTTGTAAAAAAAAAAAAAAAAAAAAAAGATGCACGTCATAAGATAATTATGAATTTTTATGATGAAAATTACCAATGTGTGGTGTGTGTTAAAGTCAATTTGCGTGTGTAAATTTCACTGAAACATTTTATCAAACACTTAATAAACAAGGAAGATAGAATGGTTATCAAGCATTTTTGTAACAACCAAACAATAGTAATGGCACAACAACCATTCAATAGAGTAACTCAATACAATAGTCCCACTAATTCCTACTAAATCAAAGTAAATGGGTTTCGTGGAATCCAACCAACTCTTCATATATGTGTGTGTATATATATACATAGATAAGATATATGAATAAGAAAAATCTATGAAACCCATAAAAGTATACCCAAAATCCTACATGCATCTAGAAAATTAAAGAAAAACAATACTCAAAGTTTGATTTTGGGAATCGTTCTTTCTCTATTCCACTAATGATCAATTGATGGTCGCTATGGTTTCAAAGAAAAAAAACAAAAAAAAATCTGCAATCAATATATATACACACAATAATCTATTAAGAAAGAGATGAGAGTATCACCTTTACTTTGCAGAACAGAGCATCCAACAAACCCAACAAACCAATAATTTATTTGTTTAAGGTGTCAATCTTGTTCTTTGAATATATATATTTTTAATGCATTCTCTTGGCTAAATATTGATTTATCATGTATTGATTTCTAATATATTAGGGGAAATTAATAATATCCACTCTTAAAAGGATGCACATCATATTAATAAAGTTTGTTTATTTGTCAAAAAAAGAAAAGATGCACATCATAATACAGTTATGAATTTTTATGATGAAAATTACCAATGTGTGTGGTGTGTGTTAAAGTCAATTTGTGTGTGTAAATTCCATTGAAACATTTTATCAAACACTTAATAAACAAGGAAGATAGAATGGTTATCAAGCATTTTTGTAACAACCAAACAATAGTAATGGCACAACAACCATTCAATAGAGTAACTCAATACAATAGTCCCACAAATTCCTACTAAATCAAAGTAAATGGGTTTCGTGGAATCCAACCAACTCTTCATATATATGTGTGTATATATATACATAGATAAGATATATGAATAAGAAAAATCTACGAAACCCATAAAAGTATACCCAAAATCCTACATGCATCTAGAAAATTAAAGAAAAACAATACTTAAAGTTTGATTTTGGGAATCGTTCTTTCTCTATTCCACTAATGATCAATTGATGGTCTCTATGGCTTCAAAGAAAAAAAATTTGTAATCAATATATATACACACAATAATCTATTAAGAAAGAGATAAGCGATGCAACTTAATCATTAGCCTGAACTTTTAATGTGGTTGTTTGCATCTACTGAGCTGGACCTAAACCCATGGTAAACTGTCACAACAACTGTCACAACATTGTCTGCTACAACGGTCCGACATGACCCCATAAACTGTCTTCTACATCGGTCTGACACTGCCATCCAGTGTCCTCTACACCGTTATAACACCACCATACAGTGTCCTCTACAACGTTATGACACCTCCATACAGTGTCCTCTACAACGTTATGACACAACTATCCAGTGTCTTCACCAACGGTCTGACACGACCATACAGTGTCTCCTATCCTCTTTTATTTTTATGTATTTTCTTGTTTTGTTACTCTCTCCAAACTCAAGTTGGTTAGTTCCTATCCCCCTTGAGTTTGCGGGGGCTGTTAAAATCACATCACCTACTTCACCCACTAAACCTAACCCACTACACCACTACCACCTCACCTACTCCACTAAACCTAACCCACTACACCACTACCACCTCCACTTCACCTACTCCACCTACCACCTCCACTTTACCTACTCCATCTACCACCTACTACCACCTACTCTTCTATATATAGGAATCATTGTAACATTCAATATATCAAAAAAATTAATAATACAATCAATATCTATACAATTCTCTATTTCTCTTTACATTATATTTCTACAGAATCATATATATATATAGATATATATACATCCATATATATATATATACATACATATTGGAATCATATGTAACATATATATACATCCATAATCATATATAAAATTATGTATATAATACACACAAATGAATATACATACATACATTCGGTCTCCGAATCTCTGAATCTCCCATCTCTGAATCATATATATAGTGGCTCCATTCGGTCGGAAGAGAGAAGATGACGATTAGGATAGCAGAGAGAAGGAGGGAGGAAGAGAGAAGATGAAGAGACTAATAGGGGGTTTGGGGTTCGGTCGCCGGCGAGGGTTGGGCTCCGACAAGGTAGCACATTTGATGGAGAGAGAGAGAGAAGGGGGGTTTGATTTCAAAATTTGAAATCAGAAACCAGAAACAAAGAGATATGAGAGAGTGAGAGAGAGTGAGGGTGTGGGTTGAAAATGGATAGTGTGACATTGTGAGCCCTTGGATTAAGTTCAATCCAATGGTTCATATTTTGACAATGGGACAGAAGTCCCATCAAGGAAAAAAAACTAAGCTGTTTTGTTAAATAGATAACAATAAGTAATTACACAAGTGCCACAAAGCATAAATTACGGGCCAGCCCATTACATCAATTAAGGAGAGAAATAAAATCAAAAGATAAGGAAACAATATTATTCCCTATCTAACATCTTCATCATGTTACCAAAACATCTACACACTTCAATTTTCTAAAGTTATCCTCTCTCTCTCTCTCTCATCATTTTTTAGTTTTTTCATCTTGTTATTGTAATTTTTTTTGCTTATGTCATTAAATGTTCATTGACATGTTTAGCTTTTTTGGTATTTTTAGCTTCTCATTTGGTTTCTTTAGTGAGTTGGGGACTCTGGATCACATGCTAATCACAAAAATGGAAAACTATGCCAGTGCATTGCAGGAAAAGTTTATTTCTAACTTTATGGACTTTTTTTTCTTCCTAAAGTTAAATTACATATTAATAATACCGAGTTATGAAAAAAAAACTGCATATTAATATATTATACAATTTGCATTATATTTCTCTTTTCTTGTTTTAGGTCATAGTAAGGCTGTGTTTGGTTCAAGGATTTGGTGAGGGATTTAGAAAGGGAAATGGAAAAGGTATGTGAAACGTAGGTAAAATGTAGTTATATTTTATTCACATTTCACCTACCTTTCCAAATCCCTTCCCAAATCCATGAACCAAACATAGTCTAAGGGAAACCTGAATATTCTTTCTCAAAACAATTGGTGATACTAGAATTCTTTGCGCAGGGGCATGGCTGGTGATCTCTATTTAGTCCTCCATGTTGATGAAAAACATGGTATTCAGAGAGATGGTCTCAATCTTTACTCAAAGGTTAATCTTGATTATACAGAGGCAATACTAGGGACTGTTATGAAGGTAATTATGATTCTCAGACATGGACAAAGTTTTGGCATGCTTCTTCTCAAGCTTTTATTTCTTTATTAGCAATCATCATAAACAATTGTATCTGGTTGTCAAGTTTTGCTGTTTCAGTTAAATTGGATACATTCTGAGAACATGAGAATGCACCTGGATATTAAAGTTCGATTCTTTGTTATATTACTTTATTCCCAGAAAATTTAAAGAATAAAAATCAGTAATAAGTTGTTATGCTGAGATTCTGAATTAAAATGATCTTTGTTTATCTTCAAGTATCCCATTGGCACTATTGCATTCCAAATCATCTTGTGAGAGTGAATTTCAACCAAACTTTAATTGTTCAAATAATATTATATTGGTTTCAACCAAGGTCTTATTATTTATCAATTTTCTGTGTTTTTTTTTTTTTTTACAAGTGCTAGCGGTGTTATGAATCATGAATCATCATGATATATCCTAAGGAAGCAAAACTGTTTGCTTTTAAATTACTTTAGTTTTATATGTTGTTTGATGATAGAAATAACAACTCCAGGTGGAAACTGTCGAGGGTTTGAGAGATCTGCAGATTCCTTCTGGGATTCAACCTGGAGATACATTAAAAATATCACACATGGGAGTTCCAGATATTAATAAACCTTCTAGGCGAGGTGATCATCACTTTATAGTGAGTGTTCAGATCCCAAAAGATATCAGGTTTGAGTACCTATAAAAATTCTATTCACTTTTTTTTGGGAGACTTTTTTTATTATAAATTTTTTACTGTAGTTTGACGTTCATACTTTCCAAGCTTTGGTCAGAGTGTATTCACCGGCCAACAATTGTTGAATTAACCTTTCTTGTGATGTTTTTAACTGGTGTCTCTGATTGTGTGAACATATGAAAACTCTGTTGATGTAATGCTTTATATACTCTTTTCCAATTTTGCATCAATATCCATATTACTATTAAGGGGTAATCATTGGTTAAGTGGTTAAAACCTTAGCCTACTATCCTTGAGGTTAGTTTGAGGACAACCACTTTGTGCATTTATGCCAAAGGTTAGGTATGTTCCCAATCTAACCCCTCCCAAACACCCATTAATGGGTATTAATTGGGCCTTTTTTTTAATTTATATTCATATTACTAATAGCAAGATACCATCAAAATGATAATCTGTCTTGTGAAGCATATTTATTTTCTGAAACAAGTGACATATCAATAAATACCAAGTTCAAGTTCAGGGCTTGTAGAATGTCAGAACACCTCTTGCAAGGAGATCCCATTTGTTTACTAATTGTTGTTTGAACTTAATATCGAAAAGTTTTTCTTTGTTTTAAGATTCTGAGTCCAACAAGGTCAGTACAACATTTCTGAAATCTAGGACATTTTGCAATACAAAGGTAGAGTGGTGTATGTGATCTAAAATCCATTCACGAATCCAATATGTTTCAAACCATCTTGCATTGATTACTGCTGGGTGTTATATGCAAATTGCATCCTTGAGATATATTTTAAAATTTCTAGCTCAGTTGAATATATTCATTTTGTTGCATCCTTCAAGGACTCTGTTCTTAATGTTGTTGTGACGTTAAAGGGCATAAATTTTGACAGAGCAACTACTGATAAAAAAAAGAAAGAAAAACAGAAAAGAATTGAGGAACTCATTGGTTATTATTTAAGATATGGCTGACTTAGGTGGAGTTTGGGGATTGCTTTTTCAGCAGTTTCCTTCTTGGTTTTTTTTTTTTTTCCGTCTATAGTTTAAAAAAAAGAAAAGAAAAGAAAAGGAAAGAAATTTTTTTTGTTTTTTCTTTTTTTGGATTTTTTTAAAAACTTTTTGGACTCTTCTAGACTAGACAACTTGAAAAGTAATATTTTTAGCACAAATGTAAAAAAAAATAAAAAATAAAAAATCATCAAAGATGAAAATGTTTGGAAAAAAATGTGACATTTTAGTGTGTTTGAGTTGGTCCAATTTAGGCCTATGGGATGTATCATCATATGCTGTTTGATATCTATTATTTCTTGTGGATAGTATTAATTTATTATTAGTAGATTATTGTTTTGTGTCATTATTTGGACATCCAGTCGTGACTGTACTTGGTTCATGGTAATGCCAGTGATGAGGAACGTGCACTAGTTGAAAAGTTGGCTTCGCTCAGGGCATCGCGCAATTGCCATTCTGTTCCATCCATGGGTATTATTTCCTATTCACTTTAGCACTACTATGTAAAATTATTTAAGAAGGAATGTTTGCGAGTGGTTGGTTTGATTGTTTGAAGGGATTGTTTTGGTTATCAATATCCTTCATTTAATTTTTGTTTGCCTTTTTACTCTCTCAGGGACACCAAAAGGTGACTTTGACGATCAAAAACTAAAGGATGCTTTAAGCCATGGAAGCAAACGTGTTGCATCTTTGTGGAACTCATTCAAGGACTTCTTAGGGTATGTTTCACTTGTTCCTTTTTTTTTTTTTTGATGTTTTTGCCTCTCCATTTCTAGATGTGTATAAATGCTTCATTGAAGGGGGAAAAAAAAAGAGGATAAATTACACTAGTAATCCCTATAGTTTGTCCCTTGTGTCAATTGTCCCTGTAATTTCAATTGGCTCGATTTTATCATTGATTTTTTTATTGTGTCACAAATCGATAATTTCAGTTAGATTTTTAACAGAAAATAACCATGTGAGTCTCACACGCCATATATCTGGGGGCAAAATGTTAAATTCATTACAACCACGTACCTTCCCCATTTCCAGTGATTGGTTGCCACTGCTACCATCCGTCATCACTACCAAAACATCCCACCACCTTCCATTGCTGCCACCACCCTTCTTGCTTGACCCCCCCGCCAACCATTAACCACTTGGAAACTTCCATCATCGATTCATCACCCTTCCCCACAACCAAAACGTAAAAAATTACCTGGTTGAGATTGAAAACTTTGAGCACTGAATTTGCAAAAACCACAAGGAAACTCAGGTAAATTGAACAATTGACTCTTCTCCACAGCTGCTCTGAGTTGGTTCCACCTCTTAGTCATGAGATTGTGGCTATACTCAAAGAAGGTGGCTTGACCTTCTTCAGGGCTACCAACACCACCACGGTCACAGCTATCAGCCACCGCCTGCAAGATCTTGGCGGCCCGGAGCTGTGAATCTTTGGAGACACCTATGGTGTTGAGCTCTATGAATTTTGTCATTTTTTTTGCTACTTCTTTATCTTTAACAAGAGCCCAACTGAGAAAAAAGATGTACAAAAAAAAAATTTCATAAATGTTTCTCAATTTCATATGTTCATTAGCAGTTCCTTAGTTATTCTTTGAAGATTAAATTATGCATAAGCCTCAGCTTTGTTGATAAGTTTAGCCTATTTTAAATATTGTTTGATTTACAGTCGAAGGCAATCTGGGAATGGATTTGCATCTGTTAGTGTAGAAACGTCAATGTTGAGGTGTATCAAGCCAAGTTCTGCATTCATGATCTCCATCTCTATTGTTTTTATGACAACATGTATCTTTACCTTGGTGAGAAAACTTGGTTACTGTACATCACTGCAACCGAAACGACGGAAAAAATGATGTCATCATCCTTGTAAAACTATACTATACTACACAAGAACATCATTAAAGGCTGTACGGCTCCGTCTTTTGTTGGAGGAAAATTTATGTGATTGAGAGATACATACATGATCTTCTGTGTCTTTCTTATTTTCTTGTCAAAATGTGGTGAATGAAAGAAAGCTGATATAAAAATGTTAGTCAAGGGGGGGAAGGTGTACTCGGCGAATGGAAAGGCTGCATGTATATACATGCATGCATGCATGCATACATACATACATGATTTTTAGTTGTTTTATCTCTCGTTACATACATACATACTCTCTTTCAATATATATATATATATATATATTTACATAGGTGAGTTGTATACTGATACATATATGTATATATTTATATCTATTTTTGAGTCAAATTACAGGTTTTAATTGAGTGTGATGATGGTAGCAGGAATCTCAATGCTTGGGTTTAAAGATTAATTTGGGAACAAAATTAGCTCAAGATTTAAAATGGGTTAGAAGATTAATTTGCAAATAAAAATTATGTTGGGTTTTGGTGGAGGAACGTTACAAAAATGGAGTTGGTGGTGGGAATGAATTTGGTGGTAGAAATAGTGGTGATCACTAGAAAAAACTTCTAAGTTGGTGGTGAATGTTGTATTTTTTTACAATAATGTTAGGTGGCCCGAAAAATCATGGCTCGAAACACTAAAAACGATGTTTTGAGTGTAAAACGACGTCGTTTTGACACATTTAAGCCACAAAAATTTGGGTTACTAAATATTTTTCATATTTCTAAGAGTATAAATGTCCTTTTTATAAATAAAGTTAACAAAGCCCAAACCACTTGATGATATTTTGATATGTTTAAAAGATAATGAGTGGTACCTGTTACTATTTTTGGTTCAGACGTCAGATTTGATTTTAAGTTTGATGCAAGTCTTATTTCTCTAAATTATATGTCTGAGAGAAGATTCATAATTTTTTAAAATCTGGACTTGTTTTGGTATTTTTGTGTGGTTTGTGTAGGTTCTCTTTTTGGGTCATCTAATTTCTCTCTCACAAAACATGGTTCAACTTCAATTTCTCTTACCATTTTTTATGGGACATTTTATTTTATTTTTCCATTGTTGAGATTATTTTAGAAATAAACATGTTGGACCATTCATTTGTCAGGAATGGAAATTTTTTTGGTCCATTGTCTGACAAGTTGTTTTAAAACTTTGTTTGATTTGATCATACTCTCTACTTTGTATCTTTTCCGAAAACAAACTCCAAAAACTGTTTTGAATAAGATAAGAGAGAAGTGGACAAAACAAAACCAAGAGATAAAACAAACCCCATTTTGAAATCACAAGTTGGAATTTTTCTTCTTTTTTGTTATGCTGTTTAAAATTATAATTTTAACAACTTGGTGAGTCATAATTTGATGTTATAATGTGATGTGATTGAATCATTAATTCTAAATTCCGTACCCGTATATTGATATAGTCATAGTTCAAAAAATTGCATACAGGATTTGAATTTTGTGGCCTTTTGGAAACTTGGCAAGAAGCTGCGTTTTGCAGCATTTCAAAAAAATAAGAAGCAGCATAAAAAAGCAAATAGGTTGATTTGGGGAGCCTCTATTTGCACACACCAATTCCACTCTTTGCACACACTTAATGAATTTTATTTTTATTACAATTTTATCCCTAAATAAAATTACCATTATAGACATCTCACACAATTCAAATAAACACACATCCTCTCAATACACACACAGACGTTGCAATGCCTCTGCTTCCTCATTTTGCTAAATGATCCACACACACACATCAGATGGGTGTGTGTGTGTGTGAGAGGGGTCTCACGGGTGTGTGTGTGTGAGAGAGGGGGTGTGTGTGTATGATTTACATTTGGGGGTATATGTGGAATGATAGGTGTGTGTAGTGAGTCAAATATATTAGGATTTATTTTTTTAGTGTGTGTATTAAGAAAGATTTGTATAGAGAGGAAAGGGTGTGTGTATATAGAAGCTCCCGTTGATTTGGGAAGGGACAACAACGCAAATGGTGAATTTACATGATTACCTTCCATGAAATTACATATTGTACAAACAATCACATGGGTTAAAAAGTAAATTTTTTAAATTTGGTGAGATATTTTAGTCATTTTAATGTGATGTGACATAATAAATAAATATTACACAAAAAAGCAAAAAAGTAACTTTTTATCAACTTCTCAAATCAATTTTTAAAAAAGCCAAAAAACTTGGTAAAAAGTTAAAAATCAACTTTTTATCATCTTCTCAAAACACCCCTCACCGATGTCTTTGCATTGATCTTATGAGCATAAATTACAAATACATCTCTTGAGATTTATTTAAATTATAAAATATTCTTTATGATTTTAGAAATTATATTATGTCGCTTAAGATTTCTAATTTCATAACAAATAGATCCTTTTATTAATAAATTATCAAGTTAATTAATAGTTTTTAATAATATTAAAATTTTATTTCAATTAATAATGCAGATAATTTTATTATTTTATGGATTAACAGTTAGAAATTTTACTTTTTTAATTAATTCTGTTAAATAAAAAATTCTAACAGGGAGGTATTTGTAATTTTTCAAATTTCAAGGGGCAATTCGTATTTTAAGCAAACCTCAGGAGGTGTATTTGTAATTTATCCATCTTATGGTAGCACTCGTTTGGCATACCAAAATTTGAGATTAAAAGGTTATTTTAGTCATAAAAAAATAAAATAAGTTAAAAAGTGTATATAACAAAGGCCTATTTTGAGAAGTGAGTTAAAAACCACTTCTCAACTTTTAACCTATTTTTTCTCTCACAAAAAAAGCTAAAAAGTCAAAAAAAATAAATAAATAAAAATAGGAGTCAGTTTTTAACAATCTTTCCAAAACACTCCAAAATGTCACATCTAAATCATAATCATTTCATTTTTTCTTTTACAAAAGTTAGAAAAGCCAAAAAGTCTATCTCAAATGAGACTTCCTAGCCCTAAACTAAAATAATCAAAAAGTTAAAAAATTAACTCACATCCCAAAAGAACCCATAATTTAAAGGTCTAAATTTAAAGTTAAAATAAAGGGCAAATTACATATACCCCCTCGAGGTTTAACAAAATTACAGATACCCCCTGAGGTTTGAGAAATTATAGATACCCCCTGAATGTTATATTTGCATAACAAATTAGGGGGCAAATTGTTATGAAAATATAAACCTCAGGGGGCAATTTGTTATGAAAATATAAATCTCAAGAGGGTATCTGTAATTTTCGAAACCTCAGGGGGTATCTGTAATTTAGATAAACCTCGAGGGAAGTGTATGTAATTTGCCTTAAAATGAAATTGCATCGTTGTTGGGTGTATTGCTTAAAAAAAAGGGGCAAATTACCTACATCTCTTGAAATTTAATGAAATTACAGATTCTCTATTGAGGTTTCAAAAATTACATCCCGGCTTATCGCAATTAACGTCGTTAACGGATATCATAAATTGACTAAAATGCCATTTTGACAAATAAGGACAAATTACCTACACTCCCTTGAGGTTTAGCTAAATTACAGATTCTTCCCTAAGGTTTAGCTAAATTATCATTTAAAATAAGTTATGAAATGCAAAATTAAAATAAAAAAAAAACACTTATCACACTACAAAAAATTAATATTTTAGAGACCAAAATTTAGAGACAATTATTTTTAGGAGACCAAATATTTTTATTGCGAAAAATGTCGTCATTATATTTTTACAACGAAAATTGAACATTGGTGATTAATTATTATCTTTTTGGTATCAAATTTTTTGTCTCAAAAAATAAACCATTTTGAGGCCAAATTATTTTGTCCCTAAAAGTCTATTTATTGTTGACATTTTCAAAATTTTATCACCAAAAGCCTTATTTTTGACTTTTTAGGGCGACCTTTTAGCAACTATCCTCGCGACGATAGAAATTAGTCCATAAATATCTTTTATAACAAAATTTTCACTTTTAGAGATCAAAAAATTTGGTCTCAAAACTCTTATATGTTGTAGTGGATCAAATGGTAAAAATATCATAAATTAACAAATAATTAAATAAGTTAAAAACACAAGAAATGGCTTGTCAAAAAATACTTAGAATACGTTTGGTTTGATTTTTAGAAATTTTTTTTTAAAAAAATTAAAAATTAATTTGGTTAAGAAATAAAAAATAAAAAATTATTATTATTTTAATATAATTTTATCTTTTTAGTGGTTAGAAATAACTTTTACAAATTATGTATTTTTTCATATTTATTTTTATTAAATTTGTTTTTATTTTATTTTTTTAAATTCTGAAATTTTTTTCTAAAAAACAAATCAAACATGGTTCCAATTTTTTTTTTTTTTATCTAACGTAATTCTTTTGTAAATTTTGTTGATTTATTAAAAGGATTTTAGTAGGAGCAATATCGTCCATCAATTTATGTTTTGGTGATGTCAGCTAACTATTCTTAACATTTAGTTAACGGTAGGGGTTGAATTATTATGCGAATATAAACTTCAGAAGCAGAATATAATTTTTGAAACTTCAAGAGAGAATTTGTAATTTAGTTAAACCTCAAGGAAGGTATAGATAATTTGTCCTAAAAAAATATAATATTTTAATATCATTTTAAAATTTGAATTATTTGATTACGTACTATTTAAAAAAAAAAAAAAACACATATGTGTACGTCGTTAACGTATTGTTCTATAACAGTGTTACGTACATAGAATAAAAATATTAAAAAAAAGTATATTGTGTAGTTTAGATGCATTTTGAACATGACTCATATAACACATAAAATTAATCCTAGTCGCACATTTTACGTTTTGCATATCTTTTAAGGGATTTTTATTGATAAGGTCAATTTAGAAGTGTTTTAACTCAAGAAGTTCATGAAGAAATCTTTTTAACCCATTTAGTCCCATGTATGTATAATTTTATTCCATAAAGTCTATTTTCTTGATTTACACTATTTTCTTGAATACTGATGCCCTTATATTTAATTTTGATACCCTTATAAATATTTTTTGAACGATTAGCAATTTAATGATATGAACATTCATATTTTAAAATTCACATTAGTAGGAATGTAAAATTGGCCCGTGGGCGGCCCGAACCCCGGCCGCGAGCCGGGGCGGGCCCAGCCCGTTGACAATGTGAATATTCACATTGACATATTAACATTCACATTAATATAAGTGTAAAATTGACCCCCGTCCCATGGCGGCGCGAAACCCGCCCGCGACCCATGGCCGGCCCGGGGCGGTCCCGGTCCGGCCCGTCGACAATGTGAATATTCACATTGACATATTAACATTCACATTAATATAAGTGTAAAATTGACCCCCGTCCCATGGCGGCGCGAAACCCGCCCGCGACCCATGGCCGGCCCGGGGCGGTCCCGGTCCGGCCCGTCGACAATGTGAATATTCACATTGACATATTAACATTCACATTAATATAAGTGTAAAATTGACCCCCGTCCCATGGCGGCGCGAAACCCGCCCGCGACCCATGGCCGGCCCGGGGCGGTCCCGGTCCGGCCCGTCGACAATGTGAATATTCACATTGACATATTGTGATTAATTATTATCTTTTTGGTATCAAATTTTTTGTCTCAAAAAATAAACCATTTTGAGGCCAAATTATTTTGTCCCTAAAAGTCTATTTATTGTTGACATTTTCAAAATTTTATCACCACATGCCTTATTTTTGACTTTTAGGGCGACCTTTTAGCAACTATCCTCGCGACGATAGAAATTAGTCCATAAATATCTTTTATAACAAAATTTTCACTTTTAGAGATCAAAAAATTTGGTCTCAAAACTCTTATATGTTGTAGTGGATCAGATGGTAAAAATATCATAAAATTAACAAATAATTAAATAAGTTAAAAACACAAGAAATGGCTTGTCAAAAAATACTTAGAATACGTTTGGTTTGATTTTTTAAATTTTTTTTTAAAAAAATAAAAAATTAATTTGGTTAAGAAATAAAAAATAAAAAATAATTATTATTTTAATATAATTTTATCTTTTTAGTGGTTAGAAATAATTTTTACAAATTATGTATTTTTTCATATTTATTTTTATTAAATTTTTTTTATTTTATTTTTTTAAATTCTGAAATTTTTTTCTAAAAAACAAATCAAACATGGTTCCAATTTTATTATTATTATTATTTTTTTATCTAACGTAATTCTTTTGTAAATTTTGTTGATTTATTAAAGGGATTTTAGTAAGGGCAATATCGTTCATCAATTTATGTTTTGGTGATGTCAGCTAACCATTCTTAACATTTAGTTAACGATAGGGGTTAAATTATTATGCGAATATAAACTTCGAGAGGCATAATATAATTTCTAAAACTTCAAGAGAGAATTTGTAATTTAGTTAAAGCTCAAGGAAAGTATAGATAATTTGCCCTAAAAAAATATAATATTTTAATATCATTTTAAAATTTGAATTATTTGATTATGTACTATTTAAAAAAAAAAAAAAACACATGTGTACGTCGTTAACGTATTGTTCTATAACAGTGTTACGTACATAGAATAAAAATATAAAAAAAAGTATATTGTGCAGTTTAGATGCATTTTGAACATGACTCATATAACACATAAAATTAATCCTAGTCGCACATTTTACGTTTTGCATATCTTTTAATTTTAATTCTATACAGAGTCATTTCTTGTCCTGTAACAACATCGATTCAAAAAAATCATAAGAATCCTTATCTTATCTTCGTTTAGAATGTGAGTTGATTTTTAAATTTTTTAATTTTTTTTTGACCATTTTAGCTTGAGAGCTAAAAAGCCTTATTTGCAATAAATTTTTTTTATTATATATTTTCGTGAGAGAAAAAATAAAATGATTATGGTTTAGACGTGATATTTTATTTTATTAACTTTTTAACTTAAGCACTATTTGACATGCACTAAAAAAAATATACTTTTTTACATATATATACTTATTTGGGTCACATCTATCAATATTTCCTCTCTATTTTTCTATCTCCTTTCTTTACTTTTCTACACATTTTTTTATAAAAAAATTAAAAAGGATACTTATTCAAAACATCTCAAACCACCCTTTATTTTATTTTTTTGTGACTAAAATAGTTTTATACCATAGTCACCTTTGGAGAAATGGGCACTATTGGTGACCTGTCTAGCTTTGATTTCCTTACTTCATCCAATCTTTTTCAAATCAAACCCAGCAAGAGAGATGGAGAGAATCAACTTTGGAGCTCCTCCAGCTTTGGATACCCAATCACAAATTTTTAGCCATAAGCCCTACAGCACAAGAAAATCAGACCCATTCACATGTACTTGACCCACCACCACCATTAATATGCTCTACACAGTTGGAAGTTAGGAGGACCACCTTAGCTAGAGCCAAGTCCTTTATTATTTGCATCATATATACAATTTTTCAACTCTCAACGATCCCTTTTTATCATCTGCAAAATATCTTTGCAAGTACCTGCCCCATCTTCAATCAGTTACAAATATTATGAAATTGCAGTGTTCCCCTCAATGCTGTGTTTGGTTAGAGAATTTGAGGAGAGATTTGAAAAGGAAAAAGAAAAAAGTGTGTGAAAATAGGTGAAATGTAAGTATGTTTTATTCATATTTCACCTTCCTTTTTTATTTTTCTTTCCAAGTCTCTCCTCAAATTCCTCAACCAAACACAAGGTAAGGACAATTTGAATTCCATGGCATGAACTCTGATAAATAATTATAGGACGAGTTAATGGACAAAGCTTCCGAGATAAGAAAGGTTCGCTCTCTCTAAACTTATTCTCAATGAGGTGAACTGTTAATTGTTGAGAGATTGTTTTAATGATCTCTAATATTACTCAAACAGGATTTGGATAAGATATAGGTTTATTTATTCAATGACCTCTTCAACTGTGAGCAAATATTAATTTACCTTCTCATTTATAAATTTGTATAAATTGTCCTTTTCAACTATAAAACTGTATAAATGTCATCTTATGGAGAGGATGAAAATGATACATTTTATAATTTAAGAAGTCAAAATATACAAATTCATAGAATGGGAGGAGGTGAACTTTTTTTTTTTTTTTTTGGGTACAACGGAAAAGGATGTGAACTTATTAATAGTTATGAAGATCTTAGTGTAATTATTAAACCCCAAATATAGTGACTTTTTTAGTCAAAAAGTTACTAAAAAAATCAAAAAGCTAACAACCCATACCAAAAAATCAAAGATTCAATTTTCTCTCTACTTTTTACACATATTTTTGTAAAAAGCCAAAAAATCATCTCAAACATATTAATTTTTTTTACATCACATTTTAGCCAAAAAATTAAAAAATTACTAAAATAACATGTTCCAAAACGAGGCCTTAATCTCTACTTTTCGAGAGAATTATAGTGTTTTTGGTTTCAATTTTCTCAATTTAATTTTTTAAAAATTGAATTTTTTATTTTTCGTATTTTTTTATTTTTAGTAAATATTTTTTAAATTTAAGCAATTTTTTTTTTATTTTTTTAAATGAACCTTCCTTAGATGCATTTAAATAGTAAAATATTTTAAAAAAAATATTTTAAAAAATTAATAAATACACAAAAATATAAATTAAAAAAATACTAAACTTTTGTATTTTTTTGTATTTTTTAAAAAACAAATTTCACAAATATTATACTTTTTAAGTATATTTATACTAGGTGTTTTTAAAAATTAAAAATAATTACTTAAAATATTAAAAAAAATCATTGAAAACATTAAAAAACAAAAAATAAAATTTTCTAAAAATTGTTTTCTAAAAAACCAAACCAAACCAAATCAGCTAATTATTATTATTTTTGGGTGGTAATTTGAACTTGTGCCACTAAAAATTACTAAAGGCAAGCCTTGCAGTTAGATTAAACCATCCTTCATATAAAAAATACAAGTCAAAATTATTATTAGTGTTTGGTAACAACATTGGCATAACTTGCATCAACATACACAATATCATATTATTAAATTAAATTAGATGGTGAACATACATACCAGTCCCATATGCAATAAACCCCTTACAGCTGCCACCAACAAGCAGAGCCCTCCTACTGCTATAAAAAACAACATTCATGGCCCAAAAAAAACAAATAAGAGTGAACTTTAATTAGAATTTTTGGATAATGAAAATTTGTAACAAAGACATGCCACCTAGATCTAACCTTAGGGAGCAAAAGATGTGGACCCCACATTCACCTGAGAAGCATTACAACCAAACCACCCACCCACCTCCCTCCCTCCTAAAAGCAACCAAAACATCTCAATCTCCCACAAACACAAACACACACAAAAAGTAAGGTCCAGAGCAAAGCAAAAGCAAAAGTTCAAGTAATAATTACAGCAACCATATGATCTATCAAAAGAAAAAAAAGGAAAAGGCTACTACAATGGAAGAATCAGATAAAATAGCAAAGAAATGAAAAGACAAAAGAAAGAAAAGAAAATGAACATGCACATGAACAGTTATGAGGCCCAGAACCAGATCAACAACCGACAAAAGCAACAAATTTAACATGCTAAAGTTGAGCATAGTAATAAAAATGATGGAATGGTAATGTAAATGCTTGCTTGTTTAGCCCAGTTGAATGAACCCTAGTCCTCTTCGTTGACACGATCGGGCTGTGGATCTTGATATTCTTGCGAGCTAGAACGACAGAGCTCCTCAATCCGCCTCGTTACATCAGACATCGAAGGCCGGTTATCTGGGTACTGTGCTGCACAATCAATCGCAAGCTGTAAAAGTTGAACCATCTCATCCTCGACACTCTGGTACCTGAGGAGCTCGATATCAAATACTTCCGAAGTCCACTCCTCCTTAACTATCGATTGTACCCATCTAGGAAGGTCAACACCTTCCTCGTTCAAGAGGGCATGGGTTGGGGCTTTCCCAGTGAGCAGCTCGAGAACGAGTACGCCAAAGCTGTAGACATCAGCTTTCTGAGAGACTTTGCGAGGGTCAGTTACCTCCGGTGCACGATAACCAGCCACTCTGTTGGGAGTTGAGGACGGTCCAACGAGGTGAGCAAGGCCAAAATCTGAGACTCGGGCATCATAGGTTTTGGTTAGGAGGATATTGGATGATTTTATGTTTCCATGGGAGACATTGGGACCTTGAGAGTGGAGGTATTCGATGCCACGGGCAGTTCCAAGAGCAATGCTGGACCTAATTTCAAAATTCAACGGAGTCCTGCCAGCACCTTTGTTTCCTGTATTGAAAATAAGAGAAGAGATTTGTTTCTTAACAGTCAGTTCAATTAGCCATTGGTATTCAAATGGATGTGAGTTTGTAATATGTTTACTGAAAATGTGCAATTCAAGGGATGCCGATGAATAACAAAAACAAAAACAAAAACAAAAACAAAAACAAAATAGTGATTGTATCCAATATGCAGCTCTTTCCAACACCTGTAAGACAAATATAAACAATCATAACAACCATACAATCACTAAAATTATGCTCTCAGAATTGCAAAGAAGAATAAAGAGAAGCATCAATCTTTGGCATCTTGACAGAAGAATAAAAACATGATCTGACTAAATAGAAATTCCTTATCACTACATTAATATTATATACATTGAAGAACATCTAAGAGCATCTCCAATCCTTTACCAAATCCTTCATCAAATTTAATTTTGATGAAAATGAGGTACAATCCTTTCATCAAACTTGGTATTAAATCAAGGGACACGCAAATTTTTCATCAAATCAAGGATGAACCAAATCTTTCACCATATTTCCAACAAGCCTTTTTCTACTTAAGTTTGATGAAATTGTTAAAAGATGAAGGATTGGAGTTGGGTTTTTTTTCACCAAAATTGATGAAAAGTGAAATTTGGGATGAGAAAGTTATTTTTTTTAAGATTTTGATAAAAATTTGATGATGATTGGAGTAGTTCATATCAAATCTAGTTTTTTACTCAAATTTGGAATCAAATTAGATGAGTTCAAATAAATTACTAGCAATTAACAAAAACAAATACCCTATTATCATATTCAAGGGGTAATCCATGGCTACTAACATCACAGCAATTGATCATCAGGGAAAAGAAGATTCATCAATAAATATGTATATATATATAACAAAGACTATTGAGAGTGAGAGTGAGAGTGAGAAAAAGGGGTTACCATGCAAAAGAGCAGATAAGCTTCCCATGGGCATATAATCATAGACCAAAAGCTTCTCTTCTCTGCTGAAATAATAAGCCCTAAGAGGTACCAAGTTTCCATGATCCATAGCTCCCACATTATCAATCTTCTCTCTAAACTCTCTCTCTGAAATAGTGACATCCTTCAATCTCTTCACTGCCACCACAGTCCCAACCTCCAACACCGCTTTGTACGCCGTCCCAAAAGTTCCTTTCCCCAACACCTCCGCCGAAGCCCTCAACAAATCCTCCAAATCGAAAACCCTCGATGCCGCCGCCGCATTGCCGAAGAAAACCAACTTCTTTGCACCGCCGTTGCTCATCTCTCCCTTCGCATTCGCCGCCGCCGCCGCCGAATGCCCACCAACATTTTCGATTTCCCCAATTGGCTTCTCGGTCTCGCCCGGAAATGGATCTGTTTCTGGGTTCTTGATCGTCGCAATGTCGATCGAGCTCGTCTTCTTGCTACTCTTCTTTCGGCACAAGAAGAGCAAAATTAGGAGAATCAAGAGAAACGATAGTACAGATCCGATTATAATTCCGGCAATGGCACCTCCGGACAACCCTTTTTTGTTGTTCTTGTTTTGATTGTTGTTGGTGTTGATTTGGGCGCCGGTAGCTATCGGAGAAGTGGCGTTGCCGGAGCAAGAGTCGAGTGGGCCGCCACACAGTGAGTTTCCGGCGAACGAAGTCGCCGGCATTGATTTGAGACTCTCTGGAACCGACCCATTCAAGAAATTGAACGATACGTTGAACTGTACAAGATTCGGAAGCGTAATCTCCGGAATCGACCCACTGAGTTGGTTGTTCTCGAGGTAGAGAGTTCTCAACCGAGTCAAATTGTTGAACCCAGTTGGGATCTCGCCGGAAAAGTTGTTTCCGGCGAGATTCAACCGGACGAGGTGGCTAAAACCGAACAGAAACTCCGGCAAGTCGCCGGAAAAGTGGTTTCCTTGGAGATAGAGATTGCGGAGCTCAGTGCAAGAGGTGAGATCGAGGGGGAGAGAGCCAGTGAGGGCGTTGAAGCGGAGGCTGAGAGTACGGAGGCGCGTGATGTTGCCGACGGTGCCGGAGGGGACTTGGCCGGAGAGAGAAACTCCGGGGAGGCGGAGGACGGCGACACGGTTGTTCTCGCATTGTACACCGGCCCACTGGCAAGGGGTCTGTTGGGTGGTGTTCCAGAGGAGAGTACGGCCGCCCACGGCGGCGCGTAGGGCCAAGAGAGCGTCCCTGTCCGCCGTCAGATCTGATTTTCCGGCGGGTAGAGAGAGAAGAATGAGGAAGAGAAGGGTTGCTACTCCACCACACTGAGACTGAGACTGAAACTGAGACTGAGATTTCATTCTCTTTTCAGTGTTTTTTTGCTTTGAAAAATATAGATATAGATATATATACAATGGGTTTGAAAATGGGAATGGAGATTGAGAAGAGTGTTTGTATTTTTATGGGTTCATCATGGATTTTGCAGGGCTGGGATGAACTGCATTTCCTATCTCTGCACTGTTCTACTGCTCATGGTTTTAGAGAGAGAGAGAGAGAGAGAGAGAGGAGATTGGGATGTTGTGACATTAAAACAAAATTTTGTTCCAAGTATAATAATGGTAAAAAAGAAACCCTAGGTGCCGGAAATTGGTTGTTTTACAGGGGTACTATATGTGGTCAACCGGTTTGTACTTTTTGGCGCATTATTATTTTTCATAAATTCTTTTATGGAATATTAATAAATATATTTCAAAAATATTAAAATTTTCAATTAAATTATCAAATATTTTACTCTTTTTTCAAAAACTATTAATTTCTTATTCTATATTTTATTATCTCCAAATATTAGTCTCTTTTAGAAAATAAATAATTAAAATAATATAAATTTTCTACGTTGCTCATTTTTTAAAATTTATTAACATTCTTTGAAGTCTAATAATTGTACTATTAAATGGTAGTTTTAGAAAGTTAATATTTTTAAAGTTATTTAAAAAAAAAAAGTTAGATTCTCTAAAATTAACTAATATTTTAAGACGGATGGAGTATAAAATATTTACGAGAACATGTGTTACACTGACGTGGATATTATGTAGAATATGTATTAATTCATTTTGAGTCACTAACATTGCTCAATATATTTTTTGGGTTATTTGTTAGAAAGTGTTATTCTTAAATCTTATGTTCCATTTAATCCATTTTCTTTTATAATATTTCATTAAGTCATGTTTAAGGTAATATGATCAAATTAGCCTTCTAAACTTTTTGTGTATGTTTTCATTTTGAAACCAATACATAATAAAAAATAATAATAATCTCTCATTTCATAGAAAAAATTTATCCCTCATTCTAGGGAGAAAATCTCTTCCTTATTTCATGGAAAAAATATCTTGTTTATTTTATAAAAAAAATCTCTCTCTTATTCTAGGAAGAAAGTCTCTTAAACCAAACCAAGTCTGAAGTCCCATCAAATGGGATCGACTACATGAATCATTCTTCTCCACGTGTTCCTATCAAAGGCCATGTCGTTAGTCAAATTAAGGAGATCTATATATCCATTTACAACGCTAACCAACGTTAATCTAGGCCTATCCCGTCCTTATAACACTTCCATCTACCGTTACAGCATCGCATTTCTTCACTACTACCTCTGTTAGTCTACGTTGAATATGACCAAACCATCTCAATCGATTCTCTCTCAACTTATCTTCTATCGGTGCTACTCATACTCATTCTCGAATACACTCATTCCTAATTCTGTCTTGTCTAGTCTTACTACACATCCACCTTAGCAATCTCATCTCAGCCACACTCATCTTATCTACATATTGTTTCTTGGTAACCCAACACTCCGTCCCATATAACATCACCGGTCTAATAGCTGTTCTATAGAACTTACCTTTAAGACTAGTAGGTATTCGTTTATCGCACTGTACCCTGAACGCACTTCTCCACTTACACCATCCCGCCTTAATCCTATGGGCCACATCCGCATCAATCTCCCCGGCTGTTGTAATAATCGATCCTAAATAACAAAAATATTCACTCTTAGGCAGTTCTTGTTTCTCAATCTTCACTTCTCCTCTATTTTCATTGTTACTATTACTAAATTTACACTCCATGTACTCTGTCTTAGTTCTGCTTATCCGGAATCCTTTAGATTCAAGGGCTTTTCTCCAAATCTCCAACTTTGTATTAACTCCTTCTCTAGTCTCATCCACCAGCACTATGTCGCTTGCAAAAAGTATACACCATGGCACGTCATCCTGGATATTTCTCGTCAACTTATCCATAACTAAAGCAAAAATATAAGGACTTAAGGTAGATCATTGGTGTAACCCTACAGTGATAGGAAATTCATTTGTCTCTCCAGCAGGAGATCTAATAGAGGTCACAACCCCTTCATACATATCCCTAATCACATCAATGTAACCTTTTGTCACCCCTTTCTTCGTTAACACCCACCATATCATATCCTGGGGCACTCTATCATATGTTTTCTCAAGGTCGATAAACACCATATGAATGTCGCTTTTCTTTTCCTTTTACTTTTCTATTACTCTTCTCAAAAGATAGATCGCTTCCATTGTTGACCTGCCAAGCATAAAACCAAATTGATTCTCTGACACCTCTGTTATATCTCGCAATCGGCGTTCTATCACCCTCTCCCACACTTTCATTATATGACACATTAGCTTGATTTCTCTAAAGTTGTTGCAATTCTAGACATTTCCTTTATTCTTATAGATTGGTACTAAAATACTCTTTCTCCACTCATCTGGCATGTTCCTAGTCAACAAAATTTTGCTAAACAACCTAGTCAACCAAGTAATCCCTTGTTTACCCAAACACTTCCAAGTTTCAATAGAGATATCATCTAGTCCTAAAGCCTTATTTGATTTTAACTTCTTAAGTGCAATCTCCACTTCAAAGTTCCTAATCCTGCGATAGAACCTATAGTCTTGGTTTATCGTATTACTGGCTATTTCTTCCCCTATCATCGTACCTCCATGTTCCTCATTCAATAGTTTCTCAAAATAGTTCTTCTATCTTTCCTTAATCTCTTCACCCCTCACCAATACCTTAGAATCTTTACTCTTGATGCACTTAACTTAATTAAAATCCCTTGTTTTCCTCTCCCGTATCTTAGCAAGTTTGTACACCATCTTATCTCCCTCTTTACTATCTAGTCTAGTGTATAGGTCATCATAAGCTTTCAACTTAGCCTCTCTCACTACTTTCTTGACCTCCTTATTAGCCAATCTATAGCTCTGAAGGTTTTTCTCAGTTCTATTCTTTTGCCACTTTTTAAAACACTCTTTTTTTGTCTTAACTACCGTTTGAACCTCTTTCATCCACCACCAAGTTTTCCTAAAGCTGGGTCCCGTTCCTTTCGACTCTCCAAGCACTTCCCTTGAGATTCTCCTTATATAATTGGCCACCGAGTTCCACATAGTGTTAGCATCATCTTTCAAGTCTCAAGTGCCTTCATTATCCATTTTATTCTTAAATATTTCTAATTTATCCCCTTTTAGGTCTCACCATCTCATCCAACGACGCCCACCATCCTTCTTAGCTTGGTATTGCCCTCTAAAACATAAATTTAGTACCAAAATCCTATGTTGAGAGATCAGGCTCTCTCTAGGAATCACCTTACAATCATTACATTTTAGACAGTCCACTTTTCTTACTAAGAAGTAATCTATTTGGCTCTTAACTGACCCACTCTTAAAGGTTATTAAATGTTCCTCCCTCTTCTTATACATATTATTGGCCACCACTAGGTCAGAAGCCAACACAAAATCTAATGTACTCTCTCCAGCCTCATTTCTGTCCCCAAAATAGTATCCACCATGCACCCTTTCATAGCCTAGTTTATTTATGCCTACATGGCCATTAAAATCTCCACCTATAATCAGGTTCTCTCCTACGGGTATCTCTTGTAAGATCTCATCCATTTGCTCCCAAAAATCTCTCTTAGTCTAATCATCTAATCCTACTTGAGGGGCGTATGCACTAATAATGTTCACTATATTCCCTCCAATAACTAGTTTAACTAACATAATCCTATTACATTTCCAAAATCCTAAACCGTTTATCTTATTCTGACATGAAGAAGCAACGCTGTGAACATTCACATCGATCAAAGTATAGACACTGTGAACATCCACATTGCTGGTGGTTGCTTATATTTGTATAAACATAACAATTGGCCTAATGTGAGTTGTAGTAAATAAATGTTGATGTGAACTTTCACATTATAAATGTATGTTGGTAAAATAACACATTAATGTTGTTTGCGCTTGTATGAGTATTTCTAAATGTGAATATTAACATTGATTAATAATGTGATGGTCACAACACATTGCAATGTAATAATTCACAACAAGTAATGACTCCTTACAATATGAATATTCACATCATGTAATAATCATGCAAAACTCATACAATAATCAGTGATATGTAAATATTCACATTATGTAATAACCATACAATCATTACTCTACATTGCATGTCATGCAACCATCACATGCTTCTAATGTTGAAGTTCACATCATAAAATGTAAAACATTAAAATATGATAATTCACAACAATAATAACTTCAGTGAATGTGAACGTTCATATTCACTGAAATATCTACTCAATAAGCATACACACACTAATACATGAAGGTATCCATCTGCTGTAAAAACACAAAAACAAGGAAGTGAACACCCACATTATAACAACAAAATACCATAAATATGAAATAATCAATAATATAAGAATATCACATCTTGCAAACAATATAGCTATATCCATATTTTGCACTGCTAATCTCAAACTAAAAACTTTATTGCCATCATTACACATCATTATAGATTAGACAAGTTCAAATTCACACTACCAAATATAATGGCAATAAACAACATGCAAACATCCTCCCATAACGATATAACCAATAATATGTGAATCTTCACATTGTTCGCGCAATGTGAACATTCACAACATCTAAAAAATAGAACCCTATATGAACGCATTACTAGATAAAAACCATAACCTCATTCAACAAAAATAAATTTACGTCTCCATCTATTCTAGAAAATGAAGTTGAAAACAAAAAATAGAGCATACAACCCTTTATATAAATCCAAACATAAATGAACATGCATCCCTAAACAAAATGGTACTGACCTTAAGACGAAATTATTTACTCGTTCTCTCCGTCTTATCAATGTCTGACTTCGCAAAATTATGTAAAAAAACAGAGCACAAATGAACAACACTAATGCAGTCTTGATTCGTCATCTTCCTCCGACACTAATGTAACCCTAGCACAACGAAACAACACCACAACGAGAGTGAAACTGAATCACAATAAAAAACATGAATCATGATAACTGTCAAAGCAGAAGGATAATAAAAAAGGAAACGTGTATATCTTATTTGTCTGCAATATATATCAACAATAAACATAAGGATATAATAGTCCAACAAATAATGTAAATCGGAAAAAAAAGACCTCATGAAATAAAAGCATAAATACATGAGACTAATTAGGTTATAAATTTATTTCATGGACTTATTGGATTACAACACCCCTAAATGAGATTTAT